CTTACATGGTTTTCTATTTAGAGTGTTAGAGGCTTTACTGACCTAGATTGGATATAAGCCATTTGCGAGGTGATTTGACTTTATCAGCCAAACCCCTTTTCTTTTCACTCTATAGACATCCATGTCTTACCCTTGATAGGCGTAAGTCATACTTCTTCATTTTCTATTTAGATAGAGTCGTAAATTTTTAGATGTCTCTTCCCTATGACTTTAGGTCAATTGAGCTGTATTGAATGATACAATACATGAGTTTCTGATAAGGAGTCATCGAACTTGATGGGTCAACCATCTTCATGAACAAATAGAGACACTATGACACTCGACAATAAGATGATAATTTTTTTTTATGAATATTTCGAGTGCAAGGATCATGACGATAAATATGGCTCTGTAGGGAAGGAATTTGAATTGAACACTTTGTTTATTTTCCCATCTTTAAGTTGATCTTCTCCTACATTGATATCTAAAAGAGGGAGCTTATTTTTTGTTGAATCTAAATGTTGTCTTGTTTGGATTCTATTTCCCGATGAGCTTCCTCTTAGATATTGTGAGAACTCCCTTCTTCTTCATAGATAGTGTTTGGGACCTCTTATATGAGAGGAAAGTTTTCTAAACATCTTGATCTCGTTAGATCCTATATAACTATTAGAGGATTTTGACTCCAAAAATACACCTCCAGTTTTGACCATCTTATTGTAGACGATCAATAAGATGATATAGGAATACATAGTCATTAGCAAGATCATTACTTTTTTTTCTTCCATGAGTTTATCAGGTATGATGAAGAAGAGAGGTTGCCTTCTTCCAACTTCAAGTTTGGACAAAGGAGAATTGATGGTTTTGGTGATTTGCTTCCTTGAATAGAAATTTAGAAGAACTGATTACCTATCTCCTGAAAAAGTATGAGACATACCTTTGTAGCTCATTTTCTTTTCGATGTAAGACATAAAATATGTTTGTAATTATATCTTGTTCGTCATGTACATAATAAAATATTTTTTCCTCTATTTATTTTCTTTCTTGTTTGTGTATGATCCCCAATTATTGGTCTGTGATAAATTATCGGTTATAGATTTAATATCTCGTATCAAAAATGAGTTCACCAAATGTTGTTCTTGACGATCTCAGAGCATTGTTCGAGAACAATTTGCTCTTTCCATTTCATGTTTTTTTTTTTTTGGAGTTAATGTTTTTATGAAATTGAATTATATGTTGTTGTTGTTGAAATTATGAGTAAAGTGAGTAAAAAGGTTTGCTAGTGAATTTTTCTATGACAAATTGTCATTCCTTATGAAGAAGCGTACTTCAGCTTCAAATATTTCCTCATAGCTCAATAGATTTTTAGCTTTTCTTGTAGGTCTTATATCCTTAGTACCTTTTAGCCACTCCTACAAGAATTTTTGTTGTCTGGGTCTTTCCAACTTTCTGTGGGGTAGTTCATATCCTTTGCCAGAATACATTTAATCTTTCAATGATGATGATTTGCTTTTAGATCTTTTTACTGGTGAGGTTTTTTAATCATTTATAATTGATAAATCTCCTTAGACATGTGGGAGTTTAATATACTTAGCTTATCCTCTCATTTAAGAAGGGCATTAGGTTTTCAGATTGCCCTAGTTTTGTATTTTCTATTGAGAGCTTGACGCATGGATTATTGTTGGAGTTCTCTAATTTAGTGAACAAAATTTTCTTTCTTCTCGAAGTAAGAGTCGCTTAGTGCCCGTTCGGGGCAACTTATAAGTGCGGCGGCGTTTTGAAAATGTCGCTTATCTGTTTATTTCGTACTTTCGGACATATTATTTGAAAACTTCATTTAATTTTTTCTATTACACGTTGATCGCGGGGCTATACTCGCGATCGGCGTTTTCGTCCCTCGTTTTACGCCTCCACCCCTCTCCCTCGCGTCAAAACCTAGCCCTTGCCTCTTAAGCCACGAACCTTCGCTCTCCTTCGCTGAAAGCCATTTGAAGTTCGTTGCTTCGTTGCCAAAATCCAAGCTCCCCCCACCTACACATCTTTCGGGCGCCCTCCTCTTTCCGTTTGATCCTAACCGAAACCAGCGAGGAAGGTAACCTTCGTCCTTCTCCCCATGCTCCCACCAATATATGCGCATAAGCCTCTTTGAATCTCGTAAATCCACCGTCCGACCGAATTTTCCTAACCCGGGATTTAAGACAAACAGAGGAGAAACGAGATGTAAGAAATTCTTAGGATTTAAAGATATTTTTTTTTTGTTTATTAAAGATAGGTGTTATGCATGTAAATCCCCTAAAATTTTATTTAAAAATAAAAATTTTTATTCCTTGTTAAAACTAAACCAAAATAAAGATATTATTTTAATTATGTTTTGCTCAATTAAT